AATGAACACAAAAACTCCCTTCTTGGGAACAAGCTCTCCCTCTGCTCCCAGATATCCACATGGGGATGCGAGTGGAGCAGTAACCAATGTCCTCCAAATGCCTTTGCTAGAGCAGGTCCTGCACTCAGTGATACGGGAAAGGAAACTTAATTGCACTGCTTTCTTCACCTGAGATCTGTTACAGAGCCTGGGTTCTAAGAATACCTTTTAAATCGTGCAGAACTGTTGTCTTCTACTCTGAAAGACGGAGCAGAAGAAGTAAACTAAAAGCAAAAAATAAAGATTTCTACATCTGGTTCCAGCTGCCCTCCCACACCAAAGTCTTCTTTGAAGAGGAGTCCATTCAAACTCTTTAAAACCAAGGTTCTGCCACGCTTCCATTTATGTTGAATTCATCCTCACCTTGACAAGTCTTTGCTTTGCAGCGCATTTGAACCCCAGCCACAATTATTTCCACCAGACTTCTCTCCTCTGCCCTTGTCTGCACAGCTCTCTCAGCTGCACTCTGTTTTCTACATCTGTTCAGGCTCCTTTGGCATCTCAACAAACAGGTAGCATCTGGCCCCATGCAGGTTTTCCCAATCAAACACACAATTAGGTTTGCTGTACAAGGATCATTTGGCTCCTCTATAATACTAGCAGGCTTGATAATAACTCAGCTATAACTAACCTCATTTTAGCATGCTAAGACAAACTTTGCCACCATCCCAAAATGAATAATATCCTTTTGGTTAGGAACATCTTGAACACAAAGGACATTTGCAAACAAAGAACTGAAAGATCAAAAGTGAAGCCGGGCTCATTAGCAAAATAAGTGAACTAAAGTCTGGGCAAGGGCAGAGTTGGTGGCTAATTTATCTCAAAACTGAGCTCCATGTGACAAGGCATCCTGCAGTGCAGAAGACTGGGCTTAGAGACCAAACTCCTTTTCTCATCCTAACAATTCCCCATTGGCCCAGGAGAATGTTCAAGAACATCTCTGCTAGGTTTTGCTCCTAGGAAGGAGAGCAACTATTCTAACCACCAGACTCCTCCTATAAGCAGTAAAAAGAGATGGGCATTATCTAAAAGCATCTCATCACCCCTGAACTGGTGAAGACAAGTTCATCAAAGGTGTAAGAGATATAATATCTGAAGGAACTGAAAGAAAGAAGAGGACAGACTCTTTAGCAGGGTCAGTGGTGATAGGACAAGGGGAAATGGTTCCAAACTAAAAGAGGGGAGAGCTAGACTGGATATAAGAAAAGTTGTGAGGCAGTGGCACAGGCTTTTCAGAGAGATGGAGCCCCATTCCTTGTCGAAGGAAAGGCTGTGAGCACCTGGTAGAGCTGTGGGTGTCCCTGTTCATTGCAGGGGAGTGGGACCACATGGCCTTCGTGGGTCCCTTCCAACCCAGAACATTCTGCAATTCTGTGATTCTATGATTAATATTTGCTTTGGTGGACACCTGATTTTTTAGGCTGATACAGTTTTCTTCCCGTTTTGCTTAGTAATAGAAAAGGGAACTTGTTTGTGCATCTATTTTTTTCATGATAACCATTTAGCATAGATATGTTGATGATTCCCTGTATCTTGAACCACTTCATGCTTCCAAGTGACAGAAAACCCTGCTTGCATCCCTGCCACGCAAATATGGTATACCTGGCATTTCCTTCTGCATTAACAACCCAAAGCTTCAAAAGAAAAATCCATATTCTGCATTAGGAGAAGGTAGAATGTCTGATAAGCATTTAGCAAAGGGAACAGCGAATCTGTTTCAGAAGTATAATACGGAGCTTACAATCCAGGCTTCAACTTATACTTGACGTTTATGCAAGCAGTGTGCGTGAAAAGCAGATCCTAAATGCCTGACTGACACATTAAATGTGATGGGTCTGTAACGCAGGCAGCATTACCAGCAGGAAAGGCCCTGTTATTTGTTTGCTTAAGATCCCTTGGTACTTGGTTTTAAAGCCTGCTCGGAGCCAAGTGACAAGAATCTTTAAAACTGCAAACCCAAAAATAGCTCCAACATCCCTGTTAAAATGAGCTGCAGATAATCTCTCGTGGCAACATGATGGAGTGCAGCCTAGTGAAAGCAAAGCAAATGCTGGTGGGGATTCTTGTGCCTCCTGGACACAGGCTCAACATTTTTCCAGGTATCAGTGCACCATTCAATTTCTTTAATTTGAATGCTCTCTCTTCCCAAAGATGCTTCCCGCATCTGCACTTTCTGCAAGGTTTTTCAATTAAATCATGTTATGGTTTATTTCATGCTAGTCCATACACAGAGCACTCTTGTGTTGGCCATATGGTCTGTTCTTTCCCTCCCTGCATCCCTTCTTTAATTTTATCTGCTCAATGACAGGATGTTCTTCTAGCTCTGCTTTTATTTGGAATTGATACGGTGGATTTTGCTCCATGCAACAGATTTTTCAATACCATGATATTATGGTCATGTCAGGAGAGTTGATTTATGTGACTCAGTCCAAGTCTTTCAACAAGATCACAATCCAGAAAGATGGATTCTTTTGTGTTCCTGATTTACTGTTTCTCCTGGGGTTGCCCAGCTAAAAGCCTAGAAATGGATCAACCAGAAACAAGTAAATGTTCTTAATTAGCAGCAGCAGCACCGCATCAATTATGGTAGGTGGATGGTTGGACTAGATGGTCTTACAGGTCTTTTCCAACCTTAATGATTCTACAGTTCTATGCTTCTATACTGCAGGCATTTCCAAAACTTGTTACTGCGTTGTCATTGTCAATGTAATTCTTTCCAACCCTATCACAGCTAAATATCGGATTTCACGGCTTTTAGAATCTATGATCAGGGTTCCCAGAAGATGTATGTATATTAAAAGACAAGAAAAGATATCCAAACAATAAAATGAGTTATTAGCAAAGCAGAGATCCAGGGCAGGGTATTTTTATACCATTTTCCTTGAAGCTCCAAGGCATTTACCCAGAGGGTGGTGAGGCACTGGCACAGGTTGCCCAAGGAGGCTGTGGATGCCCCATCCCTGCAGGCATTCAAGGCCAGGCTGGATGTGGCTCTGGGCAGCCTGGGCTGCTGGTTGGCGACCTGCACACAGCATGGGGTTGGAGCTGGATGAGCACTGTGCTCCTTTGCAACCCAGGCCATGCTAGGATTCTATGATCCACTGCTCCTCCTACCCTTGTTGAGCCTGAATCCCCAAGGGGGGCATAGAGCCAGACTGTGAGCCATGCTGATGGCTCTCACCAGCCAGACAGGTGTTGTGGAGGGAGTTTACAAGAGAATCTGTGATTTGGAGAGTTTTCTCCAAACAAAGGCAGAGCTTGGGGAAGGATTTCTGCTCCCTCACACAACCTTTTGTAGCAAAGCTGCCTACTTGGAGACAAACTTGGCCTGGACAGACAGGTTTCAGCAGTCATGGGCTGAAATACATGGAATTGCTATTGCAATGCAGGAAGACCTTTTCACTTTGAGAAGTCAGCAAGGTAATGGAAGGGTCTGGCCTTTAATAAAGGTAGAGACTGGCGCAGAAGTAATCACCTTGGCAACCAACACAGCATTGATGTCACCAGCTAATGCAGCATCATGCACGACAGCTCGGGACTTTGACGTGCAAATCTGTGTCACTCATCACAGGGCAGGTCTGTGCTGGGCTTGGCTGAAGGACATCTGAAGAACGACTCCTTCAGCCCAATGGGCCATGACAGCAACCCATTTCCTCATTAAGGCTACCAATCTGGAAGGAGTTAGGGTGAATTAGATGCTCAAAACTATGAGACCTGAGTGGTATGGCGTCTGTATACAGGGCTTAATTGAATGTGTCTCCAGGTATTTCTCCTGTATTGCCATGCAGAGCAGAGCCACCACAGACTCAAGGGAGTTTAATTTGTCTCTATTATACGCATCTGTGTCTTGCTCACACATCCTTTCTGAGAAGAGCTGTAAATGACTTTTTATGAAAAACAGGCACTCACATACGTATTATTTCTTTTTGTGTCTGAGAAAAATGAGCCCTTTCATTTAATTTGCTCCAATTTCTCCCTTCAGTCCTCCCAATTACAGACCTGCAGACTGCAATTATTGTATGTTTTATCTGCTCTCACAAAAGGGTAGAATAAATCAGTAACATAAGTGTCAGCAATGCTGGTGTGGGCTAGGGCGAAGCTCATCTGTCAGCTATCAGATGCATACCATCAGCTTAGACACTTCTAATTTTTTCTTGTTTGCAGCAAGGAGGACATAGACCCACAACATGCATCACACCTTATGTCTACTTTGACTCTTCCAGTCTACTCTTTCTTCTGACCTAACCATGTGAAATATAGTAACCACCTGGGTCCTCTTATCCACTGGATTTCAGTTCTGTGGAAGCTTTTTCTCTTACAGCCCTGGAAATGCGAGGCTGTGTAGCTCTGATTGAGTAACTTACAGATTATTCCAGCATTTGCTGGTGTTATTTAGAGGTGCGTCCACAGAAAATGGCAATACATGAGCACTATTTGTCTTCAGAAGTTCTAGAATAATCCAGAAATGCAGGTTCTTACTTTTAGTAAACCTGAAAATAGTTTATTTTGTACTTCGATTTCAGCAGCTGATCAGACTGGCCAACTCAACACAACAGAGCTATTACAAAGAGCTGACAAATGCCCCCCATTCATCAGCTCTTTGTTCAAATAGTTGCTTTCCCACCACTTGGGGAAAAGGAACTATTTGAACTTCATCCTGGTTTGTTTGGGTTTTTTTAATGCCATAACAGGAATTTATTAGAGTTACTGAATCAAGCAGGGCCAAGCATACGGCACAAGCTTTAAGCCTCAGAGCAAGGAAAAACGTCTCAGAATCATACAATGATGGAATCTTTATGCAAGGAAAAGACCTTCCTTCCATCTGAGGTCTTTTAGACCTGATGGTCTAACAGATCATCTTTAGACCATCTGAGATCATCTAGTCTGACCATCAACCTATCACCACGGCCACTCACCACGTCACTCAGTGCCACATCTTGTCCATTGAACCGCATAGCAGGGTGCTTCTGTGCCAGCACAGCCTGATCGCAGCTGCTGGCAATTCTAGACCTACCAGACACAGAAAACAAATGCACTAAAAGTCAAGGTTCTGTGTGTATCTTTAAAAGTGTGAAGAAGAGAGAATATACTCTTTTAAGATGACAGAACCTACGTCATGCAGACTATATTTTGCACATGCGTGTCCTAAGGACTGTTTGTAATAACAAACAGATAATCTGGAGTTTATAGAATCATAATCCTAGCATGGCCTGGGTTGCAAAGGAGCACAGTGCTCATCCAGCTCCAACCCCCTGCTGTGTGCAGGTCGCCAACCAGCAGCCCAGGCTGCCCAGAGCCACATCCAGCCTGGCCTTGAATGCCTGCAGGGATGGGGCATCCACAGCCTCCTTGGGCAACCTGTGCCAGTGCCTCACCACCCTCTGGGTAAATGCCTTGGAGCTTCAAGGAAAATGGTATAAAAATACCCTGCCCTGGATCTCTGCTTTGCTAATAACTCGTTTTATTGTTTGGATATCTTTTCTTGTCTTTTAATATACATACATCTTCTGGGAACCCTGATCATAGATTCTGAAAGTCATTAAATCCAATATTTAGCTGTGATAGGGTTGGAAAGAATTACATTGACAATGACAACGCAGTAACAAGTTTTGGAAATGCCTGCAGTATAGAAGCATAGAATTGTAGAATCATTAAGGTTGGAAAAGACCTGTAAGACCATCTAGTCCAACCATCCACCTACCATAATTGATGCGGTGCTGCTGCTGCTAATTAAGAACATTTACTTGTTTCTGGTTGATCCATTTCTAGGCTTTTAGCTGGGCAACCCCAGGAGAAACAGTAAATCAGGAACACAAAAGAATCCATCTTTCTGGATCGTGATCTTGTTGAAAGACTTGGATTGAGTCACATAAATCAACTCTCCTGACATGACCATAATATCATGGTATTGAACCTGTTCCAGTGCCTCACCACCTCTGGCTGAAAAACTTCCTCCTCATATCCAACCCAAACCTCCCCTGTCTCAGTTTCAAACTATTCCCCTTGTCCCATCACTATCCACCCTCACAAACAGCCGTTCCCTTCCTGTTTATCTGCTCCCTTCAAGCATTGGAAGGCCACCATGAGGTTTCCCCAGAGCCTTCTCTTCTTCAAGCTAAACAAGCCCAGTCCCCTCAACTTTTCCTCACAGGAGAGGTGCTCCAGCCCTCTGATCATCTTAGTGGCCCTCCTTTGGGACCACTCCAAGAGTTCCATGTTTTTCTTGTGCTGGGGGCTCCAGGCCTGGATGCAGTACTGCAGAGAACTCCAGAGTTCTCAGCCATGTCCAGCTGCAGTTCCTAACACATTCCTGGGCTTTACTGAGAGGGTTAATTTGGACAGCAATTTGTGCAGCCCACCAGTAAAAGAAAGCAGTGCAGGGAGCTCACAGTGCAAAGATGACCCATCCGTAGGACACACAGAGAGAAACTTGAGTCCAGTTCTTTTAACAATTTGTTAAAGATGTCTCGCTAGATAAAAGCAGAAAGCCCTGCTGCGATCAGTCTCAGGAGGTAATTTAAGTTAACTAGGCAATTTTGGCCAGTATTCAAGCAGGAAGGGATGTGAACCCTCTCAACCTTTCTTTGAAGTTATAGATATGTATGAACACACTGAGAACGTCTTTGATAGGATCCCAGCCATTGAAAATTGAAGTTTCTGTAATCACACCCAGCAAACGCTTTGAAAATAATCATCCCATCAGTGTCCTTATATGGCTTCTCATGTCAGGCTGGGTCAGCAGCACTGAGCTATGGCATGAAGAATGTCATTCAACCAGAGAGCAGTGTGCCTTAATGGCAGGGATCAAATACTGAGCAATGGAGAGAAGTACACAGGACTGACCCTTTTGCTCCAGTGTGGGTACCCAGCCTGGTCAGCCCTCTCTGCTGGAGCCAGTGTGTTCTCCCTGAGGAACACTGGAACAAGTGAAAGGCTTTTAGAGGGCTAGGAAAGAAATGAGAAAATGGGCATGATGTGCAGAAAGCCTCTCACCCCTATTCCTGTCCCCACAGCACAGCAAGTACATCAGTGAGCCTTTACCTGTTTCTCAAAGACAATGAGCGTATGCAGCCTGGTGGCCAGGAGGGACCACAAGGATAGGCCCTGGTGGTGGGCAGGTTCCCACTGCTCCTGGCTTCACAGTACTGACCTCCTCCTGTGTTGCAAGTCAACCTTTTCCTGTGTGTTTCTGTATTTTAGTGGCTTGTTCCTGCTAAAACCAGCAGCATCTTGCTCTCTAGAGCAATGACAATTGTGAGAAGTGCTCATATTGCAATTCTTAAGATCCTCAAAGATATCCAGATGACCTGTGCTTGAAGTAGTCTGGGGGTGGCAAGTGGCTGTGTGCTTATGACAGACTTCAGCAACCAAATCCATGCTATCTCAAGCATGCTGAAGCCAAGGAGTCAGCCTCAGGTAAAGCCAGGGGCAGCATCAGCTTTCTTGAATCCTGCCTGTGTGCCCTCTTAAAAGTCCTTTCTTAATCTATCTGCAGCTCCGGAGAGGGAGAGCAATCCTGAACTAAACCAGGATCTCAACAGCAAAGAGCACCAACATAAGGCCAGGACAACACATCAGCAGTCCTTACCGAGCATCCCCATGCATCTGGAAGTGCAGGATTCACCTCTGTCCCATGGCTGTCCCTTCAAAGAAACAAGATTTCTCATGCATTCAATTTCTCATTTTCTCCCTCTTCATCCCAAACGACATTAATGTATTAATGCTTAAGGCAGGGGAAATTGTTGTTCCCTCCCCACATGGAGCGCGCTGCTTGGACACAGCTGTGTGAAAGATGTATTACACTAATGGAGTTTTCTTGTTGTTGCTTTTTTCTTTCTTTCTTTCTTTCTTTTTCAGATTTGGTAAATCCACAGTAGGGCTGCATCTGATTTCTAATCCATTAGTCGCCTCTCACCTCTGCTGGAAAATGCAGAGTTATATTTTCCACCTCCTATTGCCATTAACTCTTACTTCCAGCTTAAGCCACTTCCAGCATTGCTGTTTTTAGCCGCAGCTGCGCTCTGCCTCACCATTTGTCTGGATTCTTGTTTCTTTGTGCCTGCTGCAAATGGACCAATACCCTGGGGACAGAGGCAAAAGGCCCTTGTACTCAGACCACAGGGGACAGCCATCACTAAGAGCTTTGGGTACCCTCGGTCCCGATTTTACTAGTGCAGAATACAACAAAAAGCCTGCTTGCAATCCTGTCAATTCAGATCCAGTCCAGAATCTTGATTGGAAAGACTGCCATAACCAGAACCGTTTTTGGGTCTGTGCCTCTGAACAGTGAGCCCTTCAGCTTGTCAGCTATGTCTCATTATCATGGGAATGAAATGGCAGTGACAGAAGGTTTTGTTTTGATTCAGATGGTGAGGAGCTGCTCACCCTCACCTGATAAAAGGGATTGATGTGTCTGCAGACCAGGCTGTCCATAGGTGTCTGAGTATTTCCCCTCCCTGACTGTGCCATGACGTTGGGCAACATGAGAGCATCACCTCCCCATGACGCCCCCTGCTACTGCTACTTTAATGAGAAGCTCATCCAGAACCGATCCTGTGCTGCACTGAATTATCCAGCCTCGAGGTAGCCAGACTTTCATTTGTGCTGACCTGGATGTCCCTGCTGACAGCCAAGAGGTTGTTTGCTCACCACTCGGAGCAGAAATGCACTCATCTTTAACTGCTGATACTTTTTCTTACAGTTCAATAGACTTATGTAGTGACATGGAAGAGATAAAACCACTGTGCCACTGCTTTTCCTTTCATTGTTCCTTTTGGGAAAGGGTGAAATGGAGCCTGCTTGTTTCACCATCCTGCATGTGTCTCCTTGGTGTGGTTCATTCTCTCAGGGATGAGACCATGTTTCACCCCTGGGATCGCTGACTTCAGCCAGGATAGCTTCTTGCCTACCACAGTCAACAGCAAAGCCAGAGCAATGATACCAGCCAGTATTAGCCTTGTGTCCTACTGCTTGGCTGGTATCATCAGTAGGAAAGATTTGCAATGCCTATACATACAAACAGCAGAAAGAGACCACATTCACATCATCGCTGCTACCAAGCACCACATGATCATACTTGGTGAAGCAGTTTGATTAACTGATGACCTTTTTGTAACCAGAGACTTTGCAAAAAATCAGATCAAGGCTAATGCATGTTATCCTGACCGCTTCTCAGCGTCCAGACACTATCTCTGTTCTATCAGAGCACATCCCAGGTTGTAATTAGTAGCTCATCAGCTCACCCTGCCTGACTTTAAGGTCCAGTCTGAGGATGCCAGTAGGGCAGGTCCTGAGGCTATTGATGAAGCAAACTGCAGCGATGGCACCAACAACCCCCAAATACCAGGCTCTGAGCACAAGATTACCCCCACTGACAGAGGAGAACTGTGGCCCCAACTCCAGACATTGCTGAGAAAATTATCACAAAGAACTTCCTCAATAAGCATTTGACCTTCTGAGTCCAACGTCAGCAAGAGAGGAATTTAAGATCTTTATGTGTTCCATTTGTAAACATACCTAAATGTCAGTGAAATGGCAACTTGACTACAAATTTGCTATTGCTTTCCTCTGGCGTTACAGCGATGCAACTTCTTTGAAATCCAGTGGAGTAATTCAGAGGTGAGTGGAATCTGTATTAGGTAGGTTTCCTTTAGCAGTAGGTTACACCTGTGATCCATTCTCAATATGCCTCTCTCCTACCAGCTACTGCTAAGTGCTAATACAGTCATTGGAGAGGTCACCAGGAGTTCAGTGTTCTCAAGAATCTCACGCTTTGTTTTTGGCACTGGCATCACAACAGCATTGCTTAAATTTAATTCTCTTGAAGAGCAAAAAACAGCCATGCTTCTTAGTACAAGATTTCAGGCATGTTTGTTAGTCAATAATTACTCTTAACCCTTGCAAAATAATCTCGTTCCTCGCACCCAGCAATCTGTTACAGGAATGATTAGATTACGTTTTCAGTAAGAAAGCTCACAAATTGATTTGTTTTCTATTAACCAAACAAAAAACTGTAATGCATTACAAAGCTTGGCTGCAGGAAGGATGAGAAAGTGTTGGGCAAATTCTTGTACCTACTTCTAGCCACTAAAAAATAAGTCGTAGTTTTAACAACTAAGTGTTGCTCAAATTCTACCATTTTTCCATTTAAGTCCTGCTTGCTTTAGGTCTTTTGAGGTCATTCCATGCTTCAGGAGAAGCTCTGTACCTGCAGCTAGTGGCAAGACATGCCAAAATATACATTTTTCCCTTTGGGTCAGAAAAGAGCTCATAGTTCTAAAGAAACACAAGCACAGCACCAGCAGGAAGCGAACAGATAAGCATCATTTCCTTACGTACAGAACAGAACAGAAAGGCACGTGCATCTGATAGCTCCCAGCAGGAGAGGGCTGGAAGGGCCTGAAGGGATGCAGCCCTCAACTCCTGGTTCCCTGTTAGGAAGTATCAGGCTCTCTGGCTTTTCCTCCTGCTGCTGCTTCTCATCTCTTGTCTGGGCCCATTGCAAGCAAAGACACAATTTGATGTTGGGGCACCGAAAGAGTAAGTGAAAGGGGTCTGACTGCAGACATGGCAAGAGTTGCTTGGCCAGGCAGAGCTTGGTTTATGGAGCCATGCTTTCCTCAAAAAGTCTTTCATCTGCAGCAGCACACAAAGCTGTTTTGCAAGGCCTCAAAATGGATGCCCTCTGCTCCTATCAGCTCTAATTTCTATCATTCTTTTCCGTATCATTCCATTTCCATTGCTCCTTTTCAGATTCCACATACTGTCCACACAGTGTTCAACCAACAGCAGTGCTTTGAAGAGGCAGAGGCCCTTTCCATGGTCAGGGGCTCAGTATCTCCTCCATCAAAGCTGGGCTTTGCACTCATCCACGAACTGGATGAGTCCTCTGCCTACACCATCATGTGTAATGAGCACGTCATTGTACCCAAGGAATGAAAGCCCTGCTGCTCCTTTTTACAGTAAGCACAGAAATCAAGGTTGGAGGTATAAGCTGAACCATAGCTGAATATAGGCATAGAATCATAACGTAGGAAAGGACCTACAATATCATCTAGTCCAACCATCCTCCCATCACCATTACTACCACAAGCTACTAAACCAAATCTCACAGCTCCTCATCCAAACATTTTCCTGCAGCTCTGGCAGGATAAGCCTCGTATAGGGGCAGAGTTTAGCCCAGTGGATGCCCCAATAGCTTTCAGAGGCACTTTACATCCAGCATTTTCTTGCTTCTCATATTCTCTCCTAAATAGAGAAGGCAGCTGTAGGCCTGGATTCATTGTAGAGCATCCACTTTCTCAGAGCCATGGGCCACGTTTCATCCCTTTCCACCTGTTCTGCAGCAGTTCATAAAGCTGAGTTTCAGTGGGGAGGTGGAAGGATGCAAAAGGCAAGGCAAACCAAGATAAGCAGGCTGCTGAAGTCAAGAAAAAGCCTATAAACAAGTCATGAAATGATAAACTATCACCTACAGATGCAGTACGAACATGACAGGATGTAAAAACAGTTGAGGATCAAGGATAGAAGGAGAAGGAAGGATTCATTTCAGAAGTGTTTGGTCAACAGCACTCACAGCTCTGGAAGAGTCCTTTTTCATGAATAGAAGAAAGGCAAAGAGATTTCTGAAAAATTCCTTTGCCTCTTGAAAACTAGATGGGTTTTGTCTCTTGAGAACCTCTTGGATTAAAGTAGTCACACAAAAGCCTGGACTGACAAGACTCTGAACAATAAGTTCCAGCTATTGAGGCTACAAATCTGATAAGTATCAGATCTTACATTTAGGAAATGTGCCGTTGGTAGCTGAAGTAGCCAGAAATTATAATCAAACAACATGGTCAAGCAAAGCACTGTTTAAGAGCAGGACTACTGATATCCAGATAAAGAGGAAGGCTTGTAAAGACTGATTTTGATACAAGCACGTATTTAATTCAAGCTTAGTTACGTGCCAGAATTTAGTTCAACTCTTTCAGGGAAAAGTAGTTAAAGACACAATGATAATGGAAATGAAGATAAAATGAAACAGAATTTTACAAGTATAGCGGAGAAGAGTCTTAGACAAAAAATACTACTGGTTGAATTCATGGGGTAGCTTAGCCACAAGTGTATTTCATAAAGTATAAAATTATACATAACAAGATGAGGCTTAGGTTAACACTAAGCTGGAGAAGGAAGAGGTTAGGAAAAAGAAACTGTTAAAAGAGGAAATATATCTTCATAACAAGACTACTAGAGGAGTTCCTCAGAGAATATTAATTTTTCTATTGTCACACTGGGCAGTCAATTAGCAGTGTTCCCATTAAACCTCTCAAAGCATTGTCAGCTCTGAGGAAAGCGGGAATATCAAGAGGAAGAACCGGATGGCCTTAAGGCCTGGAGAAAAATAATTTAACATAGCCATTGTGTTAACGTAATTCCTTTGTAGAGATATCAGAACACTGTGCAAGCACCGTGTTTTGGGAAGAACATCTGTCCTATGTGACACTCACCAGCTGACAGGAGCAGATAGGCCATGTAGGCACCAATGTGATGAGTGAAAAAAAACCCACTGAAGTAATTGCTAGGAAGGATTATAAAGAGCCCATAGGGACTGGTGATCTCACAGGAAAGTTTGGGCTTTTTAGGTTTAGTGAAGAAA